TGGTTTACAAGCGGAATTGGCTGTTAGCATGGATAGGATTGTCGCCTCCATGCTTTCCGCAATACAGTACGTCACGCGCACTGTTTTGACGTCGACAATGCATTCTGTGCTGGGATTACGTGTGACAGATGCTTGGAAGGAGCCAAGCAGCATTTACCGAATTTTTTTGCTCTCGGTAGAAAATGGGCCAATAAGTGAACAAATTGGAGTGCTGTGTGAGAGGGATGGAATGGCAATGCGGAACATCCCATTTCAAGCATAGCTGCAGTGGTCTTTGCGCGTGCCCACGCATGCAAGTCTTGTCAGTCCTAAACACTGCTTTGACAGCATCTCAATTGCATTTCAAGAGGGGTCCTCCTCAGTCCATCCCAAACAACCGATGCTTAGCGACCAATGAGGAGAAGTTGGATGCCAAATCGTAATGTTGAATGCATACTGCCAAAGCGTTGATTAACATTGCAACTTTCTCCTCACATTTGCAACAGGCACTTCACACTGCACCCTGTAGCATCAAATACTAACGAGGTAAGTGTATGGGGACTGTACGGGGGAGAAAGACCTTTGTCTCAAATTGTCTACTCCATACCTCAAGGCGGAAGTAAAGACACATAAGGATATGCATCCATGAAGATTTGGCACCACTTTTGGTGCACATTTGCTGCAACTCACCCCCAAATCCATTGTATCCACTGGTCAAGCCAGAAGTGACCACCAAAATGAGGCAAAATTGAAAAACCAGCATCATCATCAAGTGCGTTTTTGTACTTACTGATCGAAGCACATTTATAGAAAGGATCCACACTCACCTCAGCCTATGCGATTTCTAATTTTTGACCTCAAATCCACAATTGTTGCATTAGCTGTACGTTTAGCGTGGTAAGTGAAGTTGGCGATTGCATCAGTGGATTGAACAACAACGTGATTTTAAAAAAAGCTACTGAACTTCATGTACAAAATTTCAGATTTAAGAACAAAACAATATTCATGTGGGTCTTTGTTTGTACAAAAGTGCTTCGACATTAACATCATCACAGACTAGTAACCTCGTTAAACCACCAGCATGGCCAAAATAGCACATCCGCGACTCGTCTTACAGCATCAGGTTTAACCAGCCCCCCACGTCTTCAAAATCGACCAAACGAGCTTGTACAGTTCTCCATGCTACAACCGATGAGGTGCTCGCACGCTGCTATTTCTTCACTCAACTGCTCGTCCCAAACTTGTGCCACTTCCAGGAGCTACTAACTAGTGGCTGTCAATGTTTCTCAGTATTTTGGAGAGGCAGTGGTGCGTGCGGATTGTTTCGAGTTGCCAAATGCGTTACATCTCTGACGTCGTAAACTGTTAAGACTTCGTCTAGGAAGATGATTAAGTGGATGTTGCCTCGACCGAAGTCCACTCATTTCAGTGTTCGACGTAAAACTGTGCCACAGAATGTAACATAAAGAGCTTGATTTTTAATTCAAGCACACTTAAGCTTGTGTGATTCATGGCATGGCGTCTCCAGCAAATTACTTTATGACAGAAGCTCTTTGTGCTTCAAGCAAATTTACATGCCATGTTAGGCGTGTAGGACATTCAAATGCGTAGTCAAACTGCGATCTTTGAAGACGCTGCTGTTACTCAATACTGCGGTACCAACGCTAATTCGGCACGACGCCATTATTTTGGGGAGAGGAAGCGGATTTTCGAAACAATAGCCCACGCGTCTGGCAAGGTAGTTTGCCCATCTGCATGCAGGCAGCTGCTTGGACGACATCAGTGACAAGCTCGCTAATAGCAGTAGATACAGCACGGGATCCGCATTGTCGATTGTTACTTGGAATACCAACGAGTGCAGCTTTGTCTTGAAAATGGGTGGTACGATGTAAGCCGACACCTTCGATGATAAAATGTGGTTGCTGATGGGGATTGTGGATCACCATTCCTATTAAAACAGACACGTGAAGGCGTTTCTCGAGGTCGTTTGTGCTGCTCAGCTGGGAGCTCAATGAAATTCAAGACGCTTTTGCGTTGACCATGTGGTCAAGGAGAAGTTCATCGAGAAAGAGACAACTAAGCCTCAACCGCGCCTCAAAGTGTATAGGTCACATTGATGGCGCCTTGCGACTGTCTTTAGGGCAAAGGAAAACGCATCGCTAACACAAAATGAGGGAAGCTGCGGTTAGGAGAAATGAGGCACTGAATGGTCCTGTGTTTAGTCCTTCTTTGGGAGTGAGGCGGGAACCAATGGAGAACGCGAATCATGTGTGCGAGGACGGTGAGGAGTCTCTCTCCAGTTGATACCTCCTATTCGACCCATCGGCAGCCCAAGTCCCATTCTTCCTGTACCAAATGCCAAATAAATCATCTGCAACCAACCCTCTCTTGAAGTCCGACAGTTGCTACAATCAGTAGTCAGGATTGTAGTCTTTACCCAGTTTCCAGGCTAAAGGGTTCGTTTATTTTATCAATACAACTCGCTATGTTAAAGGTTAAAGTAGTGACTGTGTCAGTGCATAATGACGGTTTGGTTGAGGAATTCGCCTTCCATTCAAAACCAAAAGCGAGCATAAATTGTGCGGCTTGAAAGTGTTTGGCTTTCAGACGCTCGCTTTGCTAATGACGTCGGAGGCAGAGAACTGTGAGAAAATGACGACGCTTGAAGTAACTAGTTAACCCCTTCGTGTGGACGAGAAGAAGAGGAGCTTCATGAGGAAGACGGTGGGGAACTTCCTGCTTAACTTCGATATGATGACGAGCAAAATAGTTGCAGCGTGCACATGGAGATCCACGAATTCGTGCACACGATTAACAAACCAATTAAGTCAAATAGTGCAAGCCGTTTGCAGGTCTGCCACAAAAACCAACCACCATAAGAGAGCAATCTGTAGACATCGACAACGATCAAACTGTTAAATCTCCTCCAGATCCATTTGTTCTCTTAAAACCGTATATTACTTGCAACAAGATTTAGCATAATAACAATTCACAATAAAACTTAAGGCGAAATCGGAGAGCTTTGATGCCTGTTTCGAGGTACTTGTTTGCTATTTGTTTTTGCCTTTCTTTAAAGTAGTATTGAAGCTAATTTTATGGTCCAAGTTGACGTGCTACCATTCTAGTATTTAGGTGAGAATAAGGTCTATCATTTAGTTCCACATGTGAAATCGCTTATGTCCTGTCAATAGTAGTATTGCTATGGCTGCAGAGAGGGCGGAGGAGGCCACTACGCTGGATTTTGCGCTGGTAGCAGAGGAAGTGGACACATTTTAAACGGTTGTGGCTTTTCCTGCGATGTGCGCAAAACGCGACACAAATGCAAATTTAATTGCTGTGACAGCTACTTTATGGGGCAAATCACCTGCATCCATGCATTTTACAGTCTGTATGCACTCAATTATGTTAGTATTTTTATGAGCGTTACTAAGGTGTTGTAATAGAGTTTGCACTTGTTTTGAAGACATTTGTACCTCATCAAGCAGATTTTATTCTTTAAGTAGTTGTTCGTTGTTTATACGGTTTTATGACGCCACAACATTGTCCTTACTGTGCGTGAAGGTCATTCGTTGCTTTATAAAATCTGCTACCTGTCGCAGTTTCATTAATCAAAAATGGTCGGTTTCTGTGAACTCTTCTTTATTGTATAAACAGGACTTCTTATAAGCGGACCTATGCTTTTTGTGTCTTGTATAAGTTCCAGAAAATAATTGTTTATGACATCTCCGCACTAATGGGCATTTTGTGCGCGTTTTGTAGACTTTCGACGGTGCCAACTTCTACGAATTTGAGGCACTGGATATTGATGGTAACAATGTGTCAATGGAGAAGTATAAGTATGTCTGTCACACCATTCTTTTCCAGTCCTTCTTTTTTCTTTATGTAGCGGCAAGGTTGTCATCGTTGTAAACGTCGCCACTCAATGAGGTTTGACTAAGTCGAACTATGCTCAGCTGCAAGAATTGTATACCCAATATGGCAGCCAGGGCCTTAGCATTCTTGCCTTCCCTTGCAATCAATTTCGCAATCAGGTTTGTTGAGTTTTGAATTATGTCATTGCATGTAGGAACCTGGAACCAATGCTGAAATTAAGGAATCTGCTCGAAACAAGTTTGGTCTTACTTTTGACTTTTTCAGCAAAGTCGATGTCAATGGTCCTGACGCCTTACCTCTTTTCAATTACCTCCAAAACGTTCTTGGAGATACGCCTACAAAGTAAGATGGGAAATTGTTTACTATGGCTCACTGACTCATAATAATTTTTGAACAGCTAACTGCGTCCCTTTGACTTGTAAGGCAAATAATGTGCTCACAAGAATTGAATGGCACTCGGTGTTGTCAGCAAACATTAATTGGAATTACCTGCACTTACATTTGCTGTTATTTGATGCAGATGTTAGTTGCTGCTGCAAGCAGTTTCGTTGCAAAGTCAACTTTTTCTCTTTCTTTCACTTGTAGCGATATCAAATGGAACTTCACCAAGTTCCTCATCGATAGGAATGGCGTTCCTTTTAAGCGCTACGCCCCAAAATTCGATCCAAAGGTAATGCAAAGATCGTTATTTCTTTCTCATATCTGCCTTTTTGTGCGGTTAATGGCAGTTTTATTAACTCAAAGGCATGCTTTTCCCAACTTCACTTTATAAATGCTGTGACCAATCTAACATCGAACTACGATTAGCTCCTGCCACTTGCTCTAGTGAGGCTTATAAAAATGGCACAATCACGCTAAATTAATTTCTTATTTCTTTGTTTAATTTATACACCATCTGACAACTGAACCTACAAGGTCCATTTGCTATCGCACATGGTTTCGTACATGTGCAAAACAAACATCACTAACAAAAGTCAATTCTTAGGTCCAAATCTAACTGACCATATAACTTGTCGGACCTCAAGTACATCAACCCCCTTATTTTTTTTTAAATCCTAAATTGTTGCAATTCGTGTGATTTAAAGCCTAAATATGCTTTTCTTAGTTTAATGGTAATCGATTTACAAGTCGCACGTATATTCTATAACTTCTCTACCTCTTTGTAGCATTATTTGGTAACTTTTAAACCTGCACCCCTCTTCAGTTTGCTAGACTTTCTAACCTCACATTTATCCCGATTTTCTCAAATTTTATTCCTAAAGGACATGACAGGTGACATCGAAGAGCTGTTATTCGCGCTGTAATTGTGGCCAGAGATAGGCAGTCCCTTCCTAAATCCTTACCCCGAACCGCGTGAGGTGTTGTGCTTGCAAATGTGTCGCCTATGACAAAGTTGATGGAAAGCTCGTTTGTCGCATCTACTTTTGATGTTCTCCTCAAACTGGTATACTTTGAGGAGATGACACTTTTCACGCTTACCCACCTCATTCCCCATCTTGCTTTGGTGTAAGACGAAGCACTCTCAATAAATGGACTGCTTTATAGGTTGCACAAATCTTTTTGGCACTTTAAACTTAAAATTTCAAGCCTCAGTGATATGGTAATTGCACAAAAAACTGAATTTTCGACTTTTTTGCTGTAGATACAATTTCATAAGCCACTGCCTGACACGTGTGGAGACGTGCATGTGAAGGAATTTCGTATTGAAGAGAAATTCATTCATCAGACAATTTAATTCTCTCTCAGTTATAGCTTTCATCTTTCTGATTCTTCTACCCAGAAACCACTGACCTGATGTATGGCCAGTTTGGCCAATCGCAAGCATGTAGCCTGACCAATTCGGTGACTGTCCCTCACTTCTTCAACGCATGATTTTGGGAAGGGCTCAGTGGTGGTTCCATTAAATTCAATCAATGCAAATTACACCCCTCGAATAGCCTCTCTGCAGGTTCATCCATTCGATACGTGGATGTGACTAATGGAGAAAATCCGCCATAAGCTCTGCCCTGTTTGCAGACATAGAAATACTACTACCGACAGGATAAAGGCAATTCTACAACTGGATCTGATAAAAGCTCTTATTCTAAGCTAAATAATATATGACAATACACTAACTTCAAAATTCAGAGGACCCAAAATCGGTACCAGCATAAAACAAATTCTACGTTGGATACGGGCTTGCACTTTTACCCATTGTGGAGGTTTAACCCGCATAAAGTTAGCTTAATTACTACATTGAAAAAGCTACCATCATGAATGCTAAGGCCCTGGATGCCGCACATTCAAGCATGCTGCGACAGCGACAGACGCTGTGCCGATTTGCAAGGTGATTGCGTCG